TTCAACCCTCTTATACAGTTGTGAAACCTGGCCCATCAGGTCGACAGGCATAAAGAGGCTAGCCACGTTCGACCATTGTTGCTTCCGCAGTTTAATTCATGTCTGGTGGGAGCACCGCGTGAGCAATGAGCGTGTTCGACGTCGCGTATTTGGTGCAGGAAGAGCGAGTGAACCGCTCAGCACCATTATGTCACGCAAAAGGCTCCGATGGCTAGGCCACGTGTTGTGCATGCCAGCACACTGACTCTTGTGACGTGCATTATTGCGCGCCGGGGTACGGTTGGAAGTGGAGGACGGGAGGCCAAGCGATGACTTGGTGGACAGAAATGAAAACGTTCGCCTCGAAGTTGGCGTCGGTTGGTGCATTCCGACTGTCTGGCTGGGGTCCTAAGGACGATGAACACATTTGGTTGGAGACACTTGCTGATATGGCTAGGAGTCGGCCCCAATGGCGTTTGTGTTTTCAGTTCCTTTTCCATCACCTCACATTTCGATTCCACTTCCATACTGATTTCTTGCGAATTACATACTATAATCTTTGACATTGTATTACCTGCCTTTAACTTTTTTATTGTGTGCTTTTTGCATGTTACCTTTTTGTATTGCTACATATTTCCGCGGTGCGTTTTTAACCCTCAGCTATTATGTGTTGATGATGAGTCTTGTGAAGAAATGCGATGAGGTTTGCGGTTTTGTTGTTTTCGAGCAACCAGATGTCTTGAGGCTCACAGTAACGTGGTTTTTCAATGAGGTTCTCATTTAAGAAGTTGTGCTTAGTTGGTACTCAAGCTTTCGCTGTTATTGGTTTTCTAGTGCGCACGGGGACTTCTTGCTCTGCATCCTTTCGTCTCTGTGTAGGAGACTCGTGAGCGCCTTCCGAGGCGAAGATGGCCTATGGGAGTAGTTGTGGTGCTCGATCACTCAGGCGCGGAGAGCTGCTCGTGGACGCCTTCTGTCGCTGTCCCTTGAGCCGTTGTTTGGATTGGCTGCCGCATCTCCGAGACCACATGGGTCGTCATTTTCCACTCATAAGCGATTTCAGTTGTCCTCGAATACGCTGGCACAAAGTTTAACTTACCACCGGTTATTGTGAGCCCTAAGTTCGCTGATATAGTGATTGAAGCTGCGGTAGCCCAACATCTGCCATTTGGTGCGCATAAGACCGCGGTCAACTCCATGGTTCTTAGACCTGATGTTATGTAGCTGTGAACAAGCTGTGTATGACCTTCGGATCCTGGAGTTTTGCAACAAGCGACCACCCAGTTCTTATGACCTACATTGAGCTGCCGCTGCAGCAATCCCTTACACTACAGCCAGATTACAACTACTGGAAGACGGATTTCGATGGCCGGACACGAGCCAAGTGGTTTGGTTTCTGCCGCAGTCTGCATCTGCTAAAGCTTGCTGGTCAGTTATAAAGAATTGAATAAACTTCTCGTGTAACCAAATTGTGACTCTCAAGTGTCGGAAAGTCGGACCGCTCAAGCCATATTGGTTGGACAAGGAATATGTTGAGGTCACTCGACTACGGCGCAGGCTATGGGACAAATGCCTTATACCTGCCTAGGTCGAGGACAGAGGTGTACACCAAGCAGCGAAGTGTATGCAACGGCGTGAAAACCAGCAGGCGCAGGCATTTCAAAGAGATGCTTGCAACCGCAGCAAAAACCGCTTCGAAAAGAATCTTTGCATACGTGAAACGGCGCCTGAGGCCAACAACTAACTTATCGATGATAGAAGACGCGAACGGACAGCCCCTAACCTCCAGCGCTGAGCGTGCGTCCACCTTGATAGCGCAATTCTGTGTTTGCAGATGACCAGGTGTCTGTATTGAGTTCGGCGTGCACCACCTTTCATGAACTCGACAGTCTGGATTGTGGTATGGAAGAGGTGCGTCAGCTACTCGACAAGACGGCACCATGCTTACTAGGCCTGACGTCTCCACGCCCTGATTCTCTAGTCCTTATCGGTCATCATCTCACCTGTTATAACTGACCTGTTCAACGAGTCTGTGTCCAAAGGTACGTTGCCGATTGATTGGAGATGCTCGGTAGTAAGGCCGGTTCCGAAAGATGATGACTCCAGCAAAATAGACAACAGATCAATCTGTTTGACAGCTATTTTCGCCAGGGTTGCAGAGAAGATTGTGAAGTAGCATTTGCTACAGCTGTTGCGGTTAAAAGATCTCATGACGAATGCACCACACGGTTTTGTGGCAGGTCGTTCATACATCACCTACCTGCTCGTGACGAGGCATGAATGCTTGCAAGCAATGAACCAGGGAAAGTCTCGACGTGATCTACATCGATTTCAGCAAAGCGTTCGACAAGTTGAACCATGATTTCCTCCTTCTCAAGCTGAGTGTGTGGTTTTGGTGGATTTCTGCCCCAGGGATTCTAGAATTTTCTCGTTGGACGAGAGTGGACGGTACAAACCGATAGCCACCTGACCGATTGGTATCCTTCTACCAGTGGCGTACCACAAGGCACGGTGCTGGCACCTACATTGTTCCTGATTTATCTGAACGATCTACCTCAGTTATTTGGTTATCGTGTACCTTGTTTGCAGACGACTTGAAGCTGTGGGGAGTGATAAACTCATCCGACAACTACAGTTTACTTCAGCATGACCTAAACCGCCTTTTCATGTGGTCTGCAGAAGTTCGGTCAACCCATCCAAATCGGTGAGGAAAGTTAGTGACGGCCGAATCTACTCACTCAACGGCCAACTACTACATTCCACACCTTCCGTGAAATACCTAGGAGTACTCAGATTGCTACTTGAAGTCCACTGAAAACGCGAACAGGTTATATCGTAACGGACTGCGCATGCTCCGGGCACTCCTACGCAGTTTCTATATCTGTACTGAAGAGGTTGTCACTCGCCTCTTCTCCATCATCGAACCATTGCCAGAGTACGGCTCGCCCGCTCGACCACTCGCGGCGACACACAGAAGATTGAACGTGTTCAACACGTTGCTACTAGGATAATTTTCGGTTTTCGAAACTTATCGTACGAAGACAGGTGCGAGAGGCTGTGACAGTACATCCGGGCAAATCGTCGGTTACGTGTCGACCTCATCATGACCTACCGGATTCTACATTTAGGCGACTTCCTTCATGCTAAGGCCACTGCTCCACTTGCGAACTGTTTGCAACACAACAGGACACCAATACAGGCATGTTTCCAGATATGAGGCGAGTTTCCCAACCCCTGGGCTTGGAACGTCGAGTGGTAAATGTCAGAACACTTTGCCGGAACATCTAGTGGAAGCGAACGCAGTGTAACAGTTCAAATGATCATTGGATGTGCATTTCTCGAATGTCAGATCCCGTGAGCGATTACTCACAGACATCTCATATTTGTGAGTCCTAATATACTGTGGGTGGAACGATTCTTTTACCGGTATAACGTGTGAAGCTGAAAACCGATCAGCGTATTGCCAAGTGCTAGTTTGCTTTTTTAGCCTTTTATTCATATTTCGATGGAGTTGTACAGATTCAAATTTCTACTTGCTTTCACAATGTAGTATTCAGTATAATCCTGTTACGGATTTGTTTTACATACCGCTTCAGTAAGACATATCATATGATTAGGAGACAATCGTATTCGCGATCCACAAGGAGTCTCATAGGCGTCTCTTAAATGTAGGCCTATTAGTTCGTCTAGCTCAAATGCTTGCATAAGCTTTTGGGCACTCGACTATTCACCACCTATTTGGGGTGGAACAGCACGGTTACATTAAGGTTATGCGTCATAGATTTATGTTTCTTAAGTGAAGTCTCGATGTCTTGACAATGGATGTCGGTTGGAGTCTGCTGTTCGGCTTAAGTAGGACTACTCTATGCATTATGTTTTTTAACTGTAGCAGTTGCCATCCTTTAGTCTGCATTGCGAACTGTTATCTTGATCATCGGAATTTTTGTGTTGGGGGACATTCCGCTTTGTGTAGCAGTGTCTTGCAGAGCTCAGTGCTGCGCCCGTTCATTATGTTTGTGAATGATCTGACTCCTTTTTTTGGTGATACCACATTTTTGCAGAAGAGTTGTAGCTCTTCAGCAGGGCGGCCGTATCACAATGATTAATAACATTGAAGTTTTGACTTGGTTGTGCTCATGAAATTTAACCCCAAATATCAACAAGTGGCAACTATTATCCTGCTGTTACCATGTGGTTGTAGTGTTAACTTCTTCAAGGCATCTCTCCTTGCAAAGCACTGATAACGCACATGATTTAGACATAATCATCGTTAACAGATTTGAACCTTTGGCGCTGTATCGCCATGCTGCCAGCAAAGCGAAACACGATGTATTTCTCATTAAGAGAGTACTGGCTAACACTAAACCAGTCGTTCTGTTGTCACTGTATAAGGTAGTTTAATACAGTGTTCAGGCTTAAGCAAATGGAATAAACTTCCCTTCCTATCTATTTGTATGCTATTTGGTCATAACCTTCGAATTGGACTAAAAATGATCTAGTCCTACATTCCCCCAAGCTTATTGCGGTCACCTGACTTGGATGCTGTGACCTCGTGTAGGGAATTCCTAGGCTGAAATATGAACAAACAAGAATAGCCAATGAAACCTCAAAGTACTGGAGGCCCCTTTTTGTTTACCGGTACGAGAAGCAGGGCACTCTTTAGGCAGTAGTCTGTATCGTCCTTGGAACCTGGCCCACCTAACCTATTTTTTCCTCATTTTCTACCCTACCATTTCGTTCCCAATACTTTCAGGTTAACTATCTTTCATACTTATTCACTTCATCCATTCCCCTCAGACTCAGTCATCCCACGGCAGCTGCGACAACAGCATACAGCTCGCCATGCCGTAGTTGGCAGATGTTACTTCTATGTAACCTTGTCCTCTACTCGGTGGTTGTGATAGTTTCATCCAATCATTCACGAAATAACCCTTTTGCATTTCAGCCTCCAGGTGTATTAATACCTACACACGCTTTGAACACGTAGATACTCGAAATACTCCACCGAACTTATACTTCAGGGATCATTTATGCTTCTGTCGAATGCTCGAAGTGCCATTAGAATTGTAAAAAGGCTTATTGCTGTCAACCGTAGACTACTATGTGACGTTCCACAAGTGGGAATTTATGATGACTCCTGTGGAACCAACCCAAAGAAGCCGGATCTTTCTGATAAACGCTTTAGCTCAAACCGTGATGTCTGCCGTCAGCTTTTCCTGCGCGAACTTGGAAATGGGGAACCGAAAACTGAAGATATCCCGGATCTGCATAACGTCACGTTAGAGCACTTCGAAAAGTATATTGCTGAAGTAAGCCTTTTTAATGTTAACGAAACCTGTAAAAGCTACAAGATTCTTGCGCTGCTCACCTAGGGTGATTTGTCAAAGGTCATTAACTTTTTTACTTCTCTCATTGCTAACGTTTATCTATGCCACAGGCGTCCATATGGTGCTTCAGAATTGTATTATCAAAAGTTGTCGATGGGTGCAGTGCATCTCGGTTTCGGGTCCAACCGCAACCGGAGTTTACTTTTACGAGCAGTGGGATATGGTTTTCCTCTTTTGCTTGAATTTCGTATCGCTTATCCGGTGGTGCACCGAATGTCAACAGGTTTACAAATTCCTGCCTCTGGCGCGTAGTAAACACAGAATCACGGATAAGATCGCAGATGAGTTTCTCGATTTGTGTAAAGTTTTCATGTCATCATTGTAACCCAGTTGATCCATACTCATCCGTTTTTTACTATAGGCTCACGTGTAGGTTCTCTTATTTCACCAACTAAGATCTGCTCAATAATGCGTTGTGGACCAGTTTGTTTCATTTATTTATCTAGAATAATAATAATAATAATATAGAAGCAAATGTTGGTAGCTCAGGTTGTTTAGTTGATTGGCTGATTGTTCGCTGAGCTCGGCAGGTTGACTGCAAAACGCTTCGTTACCACTCGAGGTGACATCGTCAGTGCGAGTGTATTTAGCAGTGTGGCGCGTACGAAGCGACGCTTCGTACGCGCCACACTGCTAAATACACTCGCACTGACGATGTCACCTCGAGTGGTAACGAAGCGTTTTGCAGTCAACCTGCCGAGCTCAGCGAACAATCAGCCAATCAAATAATAATAATAATAATAATAATAATAATAATAATAATAATAATTACAGTACTGCTGGGGGCAGCACTTTAAAAGGAATAAGCAAAGAAATAAGCCGTTACATGAAGTAGTTAAACGCCAGTATTTGAAGATCGAATGCAAACTGCCAAATACTTTGTGATTATACCCTCTCTGTCAAAGTACTTGACCCGCTCCTGTGGTCCCCATCCAGTAAAGTAACAGCCACTGACCCTAAGTAAATAAACAGATGGTTTATTTATCGAATTTGCGAGACACGGCCCAAATTGTTGGTCCAATCAAATAGTACGAAGAGGTCGCAAAATGGTTAATTATTCAAGTAAATTTACACTACGTGTGATCAAGAAATCAACAGCAGCAGTACAGCCATTTGAACTGATGCTTTGCTGCCATACAACCTATGACCTATGGAATGAAGAATAAAAGGAGGGGGATTTACCTGAAAACCTTAATGCCCCAACCAAACATTTAGGGTCAAGGCACCTTGTCAACAACACACCTTTACACACAACTGGCTATCTTATAAAGACAAGGCGGCATCAGCCAGACAGCTTCCTTGCGGCTTTCACTGCCCCACGTCATAATCAGCCATTACCCAGCAGATGACTCAGCAACACACTTTAGCAGACAATCCGACTAGGAGATGGCAGTAGACACGCCACTAGTGTCGACTGCGAATTATGTACTGTAAAGTCTTGAGCCAAGCACAAGGCGAGTCACGTGGACTCCAGCCTGGAAGGTGAGACGGACCAACGGCCCTCAGTTTGGTCGTCAATGACTTCATTTAACACTGCCGACTTGGCGTTTGTCCACCCCGAGCTTTGTGCCACCCAACGTCTGGCAGACTAAACATGGCACTCCTAGGTAAGTGGCGACCAGGCATACGTAGCACGTGTCCAAGCCAACGCAGCTTATTCAGTGCTATTTGTTGTTCCAGGGAGCTAGCATGATTATCACTACCTACTACACGCCTGTGCACATCATTGTCGCGGATACGCTGGTACCACCCGACACCAGCAATGCTTCGCAGCCAACGATGATCAAATACTTGAAGGCGCCTCAGATCTTCAGACCGAAGGGGCCAAGTCTCACTACCATAGAACAGAACGGACCTCACTGTGGTCTTGTATACACGGCCTTTCAGACGGAGAGAAACTCCCTTCTGTCGCCAAAGATGACGCAGGTTCAAGAAGGCAGCTCTGGCCTTTGCAATGCGTGAGCTCACGTCAGTTTCTATGCGCCCATCATTGCTGATGCAGCTGCCAAGATAAGTGAAATGATCAACCACTTCGAGTTCCTCGTAAGCAAGCGTCAAGGGGTCATCAAGTGGCTAGTGGTCCTGCAGCAACACTTTACACTTTGGAGGTGCGAAGTGCATACCAAGTAATGGACCACTCTAGCAAGCTACTGGGCAGCTCCAATATCGTTAAAAAGCAAGACGATATCGTCCGCATAACCAGGATTAACTAACCCTTCATCATATAGGAGCACAACGCCTACATCGTGAGATTCCGTGATGGTGTCCACGACGAAATTGAATAAAAATGGGGAAGTCGGACAACCCTGACGAACGCCACTTGTTGTCGAAAAGCTATACGATAGGTCACCGTAGACCCTGACGCGGCCTGTAGTGTTCGAGTATAGAGCACGAAGGATGTCCACATATTTCGTGGGAACACCTTTCCGCGCAAGTATTTCGAACAGAATCGATCGATCGACTGAATCGAACGCATTCTTGAAATCGAGGAACACAGCTATTGTCGGTTTGTGGTATGCGTGGCGCTGCTCTAACACTTGCCACCGAGTATATATATGGTCTACACAGCCACGTCCTGGGCGGAAACCTGCCGGCTCTTCCCTAATCCGAGATTCCCGTTTCGCAGGGAGGCGACGAACGATAATCGTGGCCAATAGTTTTCTCACAACTGGCGTTAGGCTAATACCCCTGTGGTTAGAACAGTCTGTGCGACTGCTCTTCTGATATATTGTCACT